TGCGAGGCTGTTGGGGTCCTTTCGAGGACACGGAAGGAGTCTCCTCGCATTTCGACGGAGCTGCCGGAAAGCTCGCCGTTTTCCGGGGTAAGAAGATCAAGCGCATTCGGGTCGACCTCCTCACTTCATGTGCTAAGGTGCTCTGCATGAGAGGCCACGGGTTTTAAGCCCCAGTTCATGGTCGGACTCGGTCAGGGCGGGCTTGTAGTAGCCGCCCTTCGATGGCCGTTGGTCGTTGAACTGACGGTTGAGGCGAGGAATCTCCAGAGGAAGGAAGCCCGTTCCGCTGGAGAAGCCTGGGCCGGACTCAAGGCGGTGTGGTCAATCCGCCCCAAGCTGTGGAAGACCCAGTCAGGGCACTCGGAGGTAGCCGAGGCGTGCCCAGACCTGGCTCAACACTTCCCTGAACCGCCGCTCCGCGGATTCGGCGTCGTGGGAAAGACCGCCGCGGCTGGAGAAGTCCTTAAAGCCCTTCGCTTGGATGCTGCTAGGAGCATCGAGGACTCCAGCATCCGGGGCATGCTCGACGAGCCGTCCCGAGAGCTGTGGGACCATGATGGCACTTGCGTATGCGGCAAGCGGACTTACTCGTTTTCCCGCTGTCCGTCGTGTATCGCTCTCGATACAGCGGTCGAAATCAGCGAGCGGGCCGAACCGGAGGCCGCAGCTGATCTGGATCAAGAGAGCCAGGAAGTTTCCTTGGAAGTAGGAGCTCTAGTTGCCGCAACCTCCGGTGCTGGGGGCGCGCAGGAGTTGAGCTCCTCGATGGGCCACGGGCTTCCTGTCCTCTCCCAAGAAGCCCTCTTGAAAAGGACGTTCTCCGAGCTGCTTTGCAGTTCGAGCCAGTCTCTGACTGGGCTCGCGGGCAGTTTCAGCAGTTCCAGGAGCTCTCGGCTGCCGTCCGAGCTCACTGGGATAAGTCCTCAGAAGCGCGGGCGCGCCTAGCTAATAGGCATCGTCGCGCTGTGGACCTGAAACCGGGGGACCGAGTGGTGTGGAATGCACCCAAGGCCCGCTCAGAGGGGGCGGGTCGGGTTTTCTGGAAGCCTGGTCTGACCGGCCCTTGGCGCGTAGTGCCTGACCCATCGCGGGGGGTACTCTTTCCGCTGCCAAAGGCCCTCATGAAGCTCATGCCGAGGATTGTATTCTTGTTCCGCCTGATGCGGAGGGCCCTAAGGCCGAACAACCCGCCGTCGTCTTCGAGGAAGAGGACGAGCGGCACCCTGAACGCCCTAGCCTGGGCCAACAGGTGGCCGGAGAGGCCAAGCAGCTGGAATTTACTCTCAGCCGCAGAGGCAGAGATTTTGTGCTCCAAGGTGTGTCGCCTAGGCAAGGT